AATAATCCAAATCTATCATTTAAATCATCAAATTAACGCAATTCAAGTTGTAAAGCACCATTTATGTAAATTAACAGGTAGGAAATGGGAATGCTTAAATCAATCGTTTATTAATATTTTAACTGTTATTCACTTAATGTAAACATATATTATGTATAAAAGGGTTTAAAAATTCTGTAAAACCAAATTACACACTACATGTTATCTTGTTCGTTAATTTTATTTGCTTGTCTGACAACTTTGGTTTATTCAGAAGAGCTTTTTGAGCCTGTTTGTATGAACGATTTTATAGCAGTAGATATGAATTCATCCAGTGTAAAAATTAGAAGTTACCACTTGTGTTATGGTAACATCCCTGACTATACAAATACAATCAAAGGATATAATGTCCAATCTTTATGTTTTGTCCACCCGGATTATATACTTGTCAACAAAACCACATTCTTTTTAAATAGGTGTGGAGGTTGGTTACAGTTAATAGGTCCAAGTGAGAATGTCGTAAATTGTATGGTGGCAGGATATGCAGACATACAAACTGGAGACACCTCTGATGTCTCCAATTTTGAAATTGAAAGACGTACAATTGGAGTCTACAATTCGATGTATAAACTGTTGACTTCTGGGGTGGACAATGTGAACAATTACTTGACTCAAGTGACAATAACCGAAGTTGCATTTGATTTGGGACTTTCTCCTTCGTTGTATGTACTCAACAGAACAGACGAAATGGTCACAATTCAATTCACAAATCACAATAAACAACCAGAGAAAATAGGAGTTGAACATAACAACGTTCTTAATACTTACTCTAAAGATAAAGAGGACATGTTTACCTTTCCTTTAATAAACGATAAAGTTAACATACAAATGGTTGCTTATGACGATGAAAAGATTATATTCCCAGATGTCAATTTATTCAAAGAAGACATTTTTACAGCTTCTGTTCGATTTGGCCCCATCAATACACGACCATGCAGATTCATTGCAGAGACACAAATTATCGACTATCAAAAGCCTTTGGAGAACAAATTGATATATCAAAAGTGGCAAGTGTGGACTATAAACGAAAGAATCGAAGGAAAATTATATGATTGGGGAACAAATGATGTCACTATAATAGCAGAAGGAGGCAATTTGACAATTATTTTTTCATATGCAAATTCGTTTAGAATACAAAAGGATTTTAAAGAACTTCAATTTGATTTCGAATTAAATGGCGAATTTGAATTTATTATTTCAGATTTGTTGCAAGACACGTCATTAACAGAACTTGATTTGACTACACTTAAGAGTGTTCAAAGTAATCTTCCAACCAAAATATTTAGACCAAATAACACCAACATTATAAAAATGAAAGTCTCATTCAATCCCAAAACATATTTATTCTCAAACGTCATTGCAATGACTTTTAAATTCAGCAAAAATGCAAAAATACACATTTTATCAGCTTATCTTATGAGAGAAGAAGAATTGAAACCAGCAGACAAGTGCAATTCAACGTCTTTTGACTGCTTATTTACCGAATGCTCAATTAACAACAACTCTTACTATGATGGAGAACCACCATTTGCCAAAGGGTGTGAATTACTTTGTGGAACATGTCGAGATGGATTCGTGTGCTCAACGAAAGGAAGATGTTTGAGAGAGCCGTCACACAATGTCAGAGAGTTTGATATATCAATATCCATTGTATCTCTGTTGATGTTAATTGTCATGATATTGTTTTAATTGAATTAATATTAAACTCGTTTAGTATATTTGTTTGCTTTTTAATTTAGATGTTTATATAAAACAATTTATTTAAGATTAATAACACTAATAAATTAAAGAATGTTATTTTTATTTATTCTTTTAATTAGTTAACTTAAGAAAAAAAGGAGGAATTCTTACACAAAAGACTTGTAAACGCTGTTAAAGACTAACTTTGTCGGTTGGGAACGTTATTTTTGATGTTTTAGTTGTGTATTAAAACGTCTTTGTTATTAATTCCGTGTTTTCAGGGCAGGCGTTTCCAAAATAATTATTGCCGAAAATGTGGTATTATAACGTACGAATTTATAAGAGAAAATGAACATTTTGGTTATTAAATGATGACGTGGGAAATTAGCATTGTGATTTTGAAAACCTCTGTTTCATGGTTCTATAAACTATCAAATGAGTTATAATTCTACTATTATTTAATTATTAAAAAAACAATTGTTTCCAAAAATAAATTTAATCATAGACAAACACTATACGACAAATAATTTTGTTATAAATTAATGGTTTGAATTTATTTATTTTTTTTAATTAAACATTAATATAAAATGGTATTTCTAATATGTGAATTTAATACACTTAAATGTTAACTATTAATTAGTTATAATTATTAATCTATAACTAATCAATCTTATTAGATTAGTTTAATAAACAAATAAAGGTTAAGTTATTACTGTTTTTATGTAGTTTTAATTGTATCAATTTTATTTATTTTATAATTAAAAATCAAATACAGTCATGCGAAAA